CCTCGTTTTCGTATGAAATTTGTGCGGCGCCGTGGCCAGTTAACATAGATCGGCAGAGGGAATTTCGAAAAAAGAAGTCCAGAAAAAATAAAAAATGAAGAAAAATAAATTTGAAAGTAGAAACAAGTTGTTGTAGACAATAGATTTTATTTATAAGATCACAAATACATTTCCACGATCACTTCTAGAAGAAAACTTGCGAGCGTTAGGCGATAATGTAAAGCATGCGCTGGTCAACCAACACCAGCTGGAGATTACACCACTCACTGTAGTACAAAGAGTACACGAATAACAGCAACATAAATCAAGTTCCAAGTGATAGACAAATGAAGAGGTCGAATTCTAATTGTCCAAATTGACTCAGATTCCACCAAAAAAGTGATTTTCGATGAACCCACCATTGCTGGCTGGAATTATGCAAAAAGCAGGCGAAACTTAAGCTTGATCGATAGGCTACCTGAGATCGCTTGAAGATCGCTTAATGATCCGCAGCGATCTTACGACTGGTGTCGAAAGTGAAGAGGTGCTTATTCGACTGGTTCGAAACACACTTTAGGTGATCGCTTAACGTGTTTACCATTCAAACAGAAATATTTTACCAAAGTCGTGTCATGTTCGGCACGCCGCAAGCTCTAATGATCTTAAAAAATGTCACCTCTAATATCCGTACATTTTTTAAGGTTAAGCCAAAAAAAAAATCGAACAGCTTCGAGTAATCATGTCGAAGGCATAGCATATAGTGGTTATAAAATCGATACGTGATCCAATGATCTACAACGATTCTATCATTTATGGCTAGAAAAAGTCAAGGGAAAATTACAGTTTTAGTGTAGAATAACTTAAATTTATAGCTCAATATACTGATTGCAGGTTGATATCCTCTTTTTCTAATTCATAAAAAAAAAGATCATATTCCCCTTAATATCAACTAAGATCACGCGTTGATCATACGATCCTTTAAAAATTGTCAAAGATCGGCAGATGATCACACGATCCGTCCGTATTCGATGCAGTTAATAAACTGTGACTGGTTGATCTATGAAATGATCGCGTGGTGATCTTCGTTTGCAGACTTTCCTAATCCGAAGAAAGCATCAATTGATGACCGTATGATCGGCCAAGATCCATAGTCAAAGACAAGTGAAAGTCAAGTTGAAGCTAATGAGCTATAGGTGATAGGTTATCGAAGTGAACACAATTTGATGTCGAGCTCCAGAGTTCGCAAAGGTAACTTGATCTCCTTAAAAGTCAAAAGTTCGCATCAATTTCAGATCCCAAACGTCATTGTCATGATCGCTAGATGATAGTTTGTGTGGAACAAGATCATAAGGGTAAATTTAATAAATTTGGAATGACAGGACATGGAAGTGATCGCGAGCTGATCGCAATCGCAATGCCGGTGAAGTTTGCTAGATGTTTAAGTGATTCAAAAAGATCGTATATCAAAATGAAATTTAAAAGTGCGCATGTAGCTAATTAGTCTTGATTGGAACACCCATAAGGCAAGCGCGCCTTGATATTTAAAACCTAATAAGCTTTAGATACCCGAAAAAGGCGGTTTAAGCTCCTCGAAATACTAAAATGCCTGTGGAAGTTAGATAATAGTTGATAAGTTCAAGATCGCTAAACATTCCAGAAAGATCGTAACCCAGAGGGAATGTGATAAAGTTAACGTGCTACAGATTAGAACATTGAACTGATCGCATGGCGATCTTTGCCTCTTAAACCAACCAAAGTCGAAGAATGTTCGAGTTACCAACTGGTCAATTTTACTTTCAAAACTTAGAACAACCGCAATTTTTCTCGCTGTGTAAAAGCAGAAGAACAGTGCGTCCACCGTTCGAAATGAAGATACAGACCAAAGTCGAAAATCGCCCACGGCACAAAAAAAAAAGGGCCAAAACTAGCACGAACTGTAGCCAGTTAGCTCGCTCAACGATACAGTACGACGAACAGCCAGTCACTCAGTGCGACAGGCAGACAGACTATTGGACAGACATAGAAATGGACCCACAGCAGCATCAACGGGAATGGACAAAGAAGCCAACAGACATCAACGCTTTTGTGGCGATCGAGCGCCAGACTCATGAATCAAATTTAACGAACTAACTGCGCGTGCAGCACAAATGATGACAACGGCAACAAAAACAAGAAGGGGGACAACAACATTAACAACGACAACAAACACCACGTGGATGAGGATGGCGACGATGATGGCCCTCATCATCAGCATCATTATGAACGGTAACTAGGTTGGCCGAGTGCCTGGTTAACTGGCGCTACAGCGCGTCGCAAGCGGCCCGCCCAGTTGACGATCGATGGGACGCAGATTTATGCGCTTGCATGTGATTATTGTTGTTGCTGTTGTTAGTGGTGGTGGCAGTTCTTGCTTATTTGCTGGCCGTTTGCTGCTGAGGGTGATGAGGTTGATGATTATGAATGAGTTGTTGGGCAATGAATGATGCTGCTCGGCGACTGCTGCTACGAAAGCTTTATTGTTGTTGCTGTTTTCCATTTTTATTATTTTTTTTTTGGTCGTGGCTGCATTTGATTTGTTGCTCCTGCTGCCTGTGCTGAAAAACAAATAATGTCAGCCCACATAAATTTCAGCTTTCAATAACTTGAATTATGCTGTTTGGCGTACAGTTTTTCAGTTTTTTTTTATTAAATGCAATTTTAAGTTTTTTGTTTGCATTCTAGCAAAGAATTTTTTGAAAGCGGTATTTAAATATCGATAGCCTAAAAGTTCTGCGAAAGTTAAAGTATGTGATTAATAACACATGTGGTGAGTGGCAAATAATTAGTGAAAGCAGACTCTTTTATGGCAAAAACAGCGCAGCAAATATCTTCAAAAAAAAAAAAAAAACAGGTGCTTCGAATTGTGGCAGCATAAAAATAATTTATTTCAAAATAAAAACTAATTTTAAAAAAGCATATATAAAAATATATATAGAATTTTAATAAAAAAATATTTTTGCAAAATTTTTTTCTCAAAATATTTTAGATAATTTTTTTTTATTTTTTTTTAATACGTGTTTGGTTTTACCAATACAAATATTAATTTAGAAAATGAAAAACAAATATTTGTGTGTATATGTACCTACATACATATGTTTCGATCCATAATATTTTTAATTTTTAACTTCCCAATATTACAATTAGTTTTTTTAGTTTTTCAAATTACATACATACATATTTTATAAGACCTGCTTCTAAAAATTTTAAGTGAGCTTACATGTCTGTTTATTTTTTAAAGAAATATTAAAAAAAAATCACATACTAAAATTTTTTGAATTTTATTAATAAGGCAAAATGCGTAGTTAGGTCTCGAAAGAATAAAAAAAGAAAAATTTAGCTCCTATGTTTCTTTTATCACAAACTTTTGCATTTTTTTTTGTACTGGTATTCCTTGAAAAAAAAACGGTGGTGTATTGTCCATTTGATTTTTTCTTAATTTTTAAGCTATATAAGTATCTATCTTAAGATATGTTTCTCAAAATTTTAGAAACCATGAAAAAACTGAGGCATTTTATTGTATGAAATTTCCTAGAAACTTAAAATATTTAGGGACCATAAAAATTGAGTTTGGAAAGTTTTATTGACAAACCGTATTTTTATAGACTGGGAACATTAATTAAGAAATAAATAATTACGCCGATATTTGACTTTTGTTTACATATTTCAGTATTGAAAATTTTTGATTTAATTTCAACCTGTCGAGTTGGAGCCAAAAAATTAAAATAAATATTTTAAACAATAAAAAATTTAATTCAATGTTATAAGTTTTAAAATAAAAAAAAAACATCTTAAAACAAATCTTCAAAGCGATCCCATATACATTTTCCTACTAAATTTATTTCGAAATTTTTTTTACTTTTCATATATTAATTTTTTATTTTTGAATTTTTCCTTTCACATTTTTTGATCCAAATCTCACATTCATTTTTTTCTGCGTGTAATTTCCCTTTGATGGTTATTAACTACACTCATTGTTGTTGCCATTGCTGCTGCTGCGGCTGCTGCTTACTGCACAGATTGAGTGATTGCTGCCTAAAGTTATAATTTTCATATTTGTTGTAAATGGGCGAGAGCAAGCGCTAGTCCGCACAGCACACCAGCGAACGCAGGGTACACACACACATACATACACACCTTCCTTCCAGAATACCCTTTGGAACGTAAGTGAGTGTGCATACTGCTGTGTGGCCCTTTATGATGAACTTGCAACATGCAGCCTAAATAAAAATGTTTGCTGTTGGATTTAATGGTTTGTTGGTTTTTCGGACGTAGAGTGCCTGCAGTGGTCACACAGCTACAAATGTACATGTAGCATATACATACATATGTACATCAGCCACAAAGCTGCAATATTAGCGCGATCAGCCCACATAATGACCGCTGGCGTTGGAGCATTTGGCTGGCTTTCCAATGCTTCATATTCTGTGGCATGACTCTGGTTGTTGGGGCAGCAGCAAAGTCTATAAAGTGATTGTTGTTGCTGCCTTTTTAGTATGTGGTGGCAATTTTCGAGTTTGCAACTTTTTCTTCATCTCTTTTGTTGCTGTCGCTTTTGCTGCGGTTGCAGCTTCGGCCTCGACCACGACAAATTTCAATTTAGTTTGCTGCAAGCAAGAAATAAACGTCGTTGGCGTCTTTGGCGAAAATTTGTAAATTTGACTGGTGTGCGGTGGCGCCACAAGCAGGCGCCATTTGATGAGCGGTAAGAGAAATTTTCGAAAATGGAATAAAAAATATTAAAAAGTAAATTGAATGAGCATTTGGTGGTCGAGTTATGTTGGAGAAATGCAGATTGGTAGGGAAAATGATTGTTTATTGCTTTTGCTGTAGGAAATTTTTTTTTAAAGATTATTTAAATATTTCTTTTGACTATAGTTCCAACAATTTTTTGTGGTTACGAAATTTCTTAAAAATTGTACAAAAATACATAATATGTTCTGATTTAAAATTTTTAACACATTTTTCTTTTTTCTTTTTTTCAGGCAAATGTTTCCTCAAATGAAATTTCGCGTATCGGGCCTGGACGCCAAGGCGAAATATATTTTGCTCTTGGACATAGTCGCTGCGGACGATTACCGTTACAAGTTTCATAATAGGTGAGTGTTACTTTTTACCCCTTTTTAATAATTTTTTTTCAGTGAAAACTTTTGTATAAAATAAAATTATATGCAGTGATTATTAAAAAAAAAATCGCGCGGGGAGAAATAACGTGCAAACTTTTAAATGTTTTTGCAAATTTGTGTTTGAATATTTTTTTTTACCTTCTACATCTGAATTAAAAAAAAAAACAATTTTTTTATTTAAAATTTATCAGAAAATTTGGATTATTTAATAAAATCGAGTATTAAGAAATTGTGCGCCAAAACTATTTTTTTTTCAGAAATATTTTTTTTTTTTAATTGAATTTCGGCACAAATATGTACATTAGTCGAATGTTCTTAAAGGTTTAAATAAAAAATCTGAATCATGCCAACACAAAAATCGGAATTTTTAAATATATTTATAAAAAATTTAACTTCATTATCTAAAAATTTTTATAATAGCTTGACTCAATCAACAATGAATTTAATTTAAAATATTTGTACATAAATTTGCCTATAAAATTACATACGTAAACACTTTTTTAAATCGTGTTTTGAAAACCTAAGTGGCAACCATTTAATTTTTTTTTAATTTATTTCCAAGTTTCCTTAACAGAAATCTGTCTTAATAAATTGTTCTCGTACCTTATCTGATAAAAATTTTCAATAGCTCTTTTTTCACATTTTTTTCATTACACCAAAAACTTCTACAAAAAATGAAATTATTGCATCCATCACCTTCTCTCTTTCAGCCGTTGGATGATCGCCGGCAAAGCGGATCCAGAAATGCCAAAACGCATGTACATCCACCCCGATTCGCCAACAACCGGCGAACAGTGGATGCAGAAGGTCGTCTCATTTCACAAATTAAAATTGACCAACAATATTAGTGATAAACATGGATTTGTAAGTACTGTACGTCTTCTCTGTTTACCGAAAATTTCATGACAAAAAAAAAATCAGAAAAAAAGAGCGTTAAAAAGTCGAGTTATTTTCGATGTTGAAAACAGAAAATGGCCGCCTTACAACAAAAAAAGCAAGTTTGGTAAAAAATAAAGATATTTCTCAATTTGAAATTTTCTGCAATTTGAAAAGAAGAGTTACAAGCAAAAATGAAAGAATGTAAAATTTGCGGAAAGAAAGACTTAAAATCTAAAATAATAAAAAAGCCACAATAAAATTGACAAAAAGTCAAAAGTTTAAGTAAATAAGTGAAATAATGAATAAGTAACGAAGCTGCTTAAAAGCTGGCGCAAAAGTACAAAATGTTTAAACTTAGGTAGTTTTAAAATTTAATAAAGTTAAAAAATTTTTGAAAATTTGTTTTAAAAACGTCATAGTGAGATTTTTCAATTCTTAATTTTTTTTATGACATTTCAAAAAGAAATCGGTTGCAGCAAAATTAAAATATATTCCAAATATTTTTTGTTTTGTAAACGCGTGAATTTCAGATTGAGAGAAATTTTTATCGGCTCATTTAAACATCACTGCATTATTAATTATTAATTAAATTTCATATATTAACACATACATATATATTTATTTTAATTTTGAGTAACGAAATATTAGCAAGTGATTGAAGATACATTTTTTTAAATTAAAGCATTTTTTTTTTGTTTTAAATTTTTTAAGATTTTTCACACATTATTTTCTATCTACTCATCCGCCATTTCGCAACAAAAAGCAGTTCGCTCATCAATCGCCGCCTCTGAACGGCGCCATGTTTGTCGGCAAACTTCAAACGTTTTCGCGCTAACAACGCGTTGCTTATGTTAGCTGTTGTAGCTTTTGTTGTAAGTGAAGTTTATTTATTGCTAAGCGTTTAAAAAATGTGTACAGCAACAGCAAACAAAAGTAGCAATTGTGTGGCAAAAACGCCAAAAAAAAGAAAATTGAAAACGAGCAAAAAAAAATATTGGAAAAAATCCGCTTGTCTATTAAACCGCCACTGGCTTTTTGCCCCACACGCCGCATGCATACATACAGCTTTAGTGCGTTTAGTGGCAGCGGCAGCCATTTATTCGATGATAACTGTCATTACAAATCGATATTTATGCTGATGCTGGCGCGCTGAGGCAGTCCATGGAAGTGGATTGACTGCGTGCGGTGTTGCGTGTTGCTGACTGTGTTCCTTTTTCTATGGCAAGCGCTTCATGCTGCGGGGAGGATTCGGTAATCGGTGGTCGTAGAAAGAGATCTTGAACTGATCAGTCTGAACTGATAAGTGACCTCAAAAATCAGTACGTACTAAAGTAATCGTTATATAAAGTTCGGTAGCTAGAACTACTCGCCAATATTCTATAATTGTGGCACAGTCCATAAATGAAAAAAATTGCTTATGTTCGAATTTTCGAACATGTTTAAAATTTTCTTTTTTCAAGTTATTTTGCATAATGGAGTGCCTAGAAGTTACGAAAATGTATTTTAAGACTATCAAGCTGAAGTTCGAATTTTCGAACAAAGATTCGGTTTTGTAAATTTGACGTTTATTTAATTTTTTATAAGAAAACCAGTGTATTTGTAGTGTATTTAAGCGGAGAAACCTTTAAAAATCATCGCTTGGTTACATACATATTATGTATGTATTTACCTTCATTTAAATATTATTTAAAAAATCGTTTGAAACTGTAGCCACATAAAATTTGCCCTTTCATTTCTATTGCAAACTCTGAATACTTGAGCGCCTATCAAAGTTGTCTAAAATATCGTTTGAAATGCTTTATTGCCTATGTTCGAATTTTCGAACATGTTTTGAAAGAACCCTTGTTACGTTATTTTGCGGCGTTATCCTGTACGCATTCTAAAACATCGATTGACGTGCTTTATTGCTTATGTTCGAATTTTCGAACATCTTTTAAAAACCGCGGTTTTTAAGGTACTTTGTCTAAAAGTGTTCCTTGGGACGACACAAATGTGCCTAGAGATTATTGCAGACAAGTTCGAATATTCGAAATTAGAAGTTTTATGTAAAATTANCCGCGGTTTTTAAGGTACTTTGTCTAAAGGTGTTCCTTGGGACGACACAAATGTGCCTAGAGTTTATTGCAGACAAGTTCGAATATTCGAAATTAGAAGTTTTATGTAAAATTAACGTACTCTTTTTACTTATAGAAAGAGGTACGTATTTAACTTTATTTTACTTGAGCTTCGACTTTTGAAAGCAAATGAACAGCTTCCAAACACTCATTGCGTCGGACCAACACCATAAGTCTCATTATCCGCGTGCTACCGTTCTTTTTTTTAAGTCGACCCTCCTAACTCAAATATACTCGTATCTTGCAACTTGTGCGATATCAAAATTATCCACATCCTCATTGATTTTCCAGCAAAAGTATTACTTATTCATTAATTATCCGCGCACTTTCTTCACTAGCTCCTCTTGCGGAGTCCACTCGCCAATGAATTAGCTCTATATTGATTATCGAAATGAAGCGTTAATAAAAAATCCAAAATAATCGCATGCCGCACACAGCATCCTCAATGAAGCGGCGATGCGGCACGAAAAGCGCGCAAAACCAAACACAGATAAACCAGCAACGCTTCGCTGCTTGACTGCCTGCCTGCCTGTCGTCCTTCGCTTGCGCCAATGGGCCGCCGCAAAAGTGACAGTGGCGATTGGCAGTGGCGATGATCATAACGATTCATATTTGTCTGCACGCCAGCAGCAGCACGAGCAGTGGCGGCTTGTCCACTCCACGAAATGAGCAACCAACGCCTGCGCCGCACTACATGCGCGCCCCATCGGACCCACCACCATCACAGCAAGACCCCCACCAGCATGCGCCACGTTTTCTACTTGTTTTCCAATCAGTCTTTTGGCTAATTCCGCCTGCTTTTCGCGCCAGCTTTGAAGTATGCCGCCAATGCGGCAATAAACTATGCTTTCGCAGCGTTGCGAAGCTGTGCCGCGCGGCGACTATGATGCGAACTATTGCTGGGATCCGGTTAGTCCGGCTATAGACTGCTAGTTGGTGTGCAGATTTGCATACGAGCAGCTAGTGCGCGCGCTCGCTTGTTGATCGCCGATTGATCGGCGCTGTGGCTGTTGCTTTTTTTCCAACTCACTATTCGCTATTTCGGATTAAATAGCGCAATAAAATGTGTATAAAATAGCAACAACTGGCACAGGCGCGAGATTACCGCCGTTGTTGCCGCAATGATCAGACGAAAATTTATTTATTGATGTACGCCAACAGCAAAAGTTGACTGCTGCGGTGCGCCCGCCGATGCCAGTGCAATGGCGACGGTGTTGGCGGCAATTTGCCAGCATGGCTTTTGATCTTCGCGAATTTGCGTGGATAGACGGAGGTGGATGTACATACGTCGATATGAATGTGCGATTGGGAGGAGGCTCATACGTTTTTATGGTGTCGCCACCGCCCGTTGCGTTGCATACACGCCNCAAGTCTCTTTATCCGCGTGCTACCGTTCTTTTTTTTAAGTCGACCCTCTTAACTCAAATATACTCGTATCTTACAACTTGTGCGATATCAAAATTATCCACATCCTCATTGATTTTCCAGCAAAAGTATTACTTATTCATTAATTATCCGCGCACTTTCTTCACTAGCTCCTCTTGCGGAATCCACTCGCCAATGAATTAGCTCTATATTGATTATCGAAATGAAGCGTTAATAAAAAATCCAAAATAATCGCATGCCGCACACAGCATCCTCAATGAAGCGGCGATGCGGCACGAAAAGCGCGCAAAACCAAACACAGATAAACCAGCAACGCTTCGCTGCTTGACTGCCTGCCTGCCTGTCGTCCTTCGCTTGCGCCAATGGGCCGCCGCAAAAGTGACAGTGGCGATTGGCAGTGGCGATGATCATAACGATTCATATTTGTCTGCACGCCAGCAGCAGCACGAGCAGTGGCGGCTTGTCCACTCCACGAAATGAGCAACCAACGCCTGCGCCGCACTACATGCGCGCCCCATCGGACCCACCACCATCATAACAAGACCCCCACCAGCATGCGCCACGTTTTCTTCTTGTTTTCCAATCAGTCTTTTGGCTAATTCCGCCTGCTTTTCGCGCCAGCTTTGAAGTATGCCGCCAATGCGGCAATAAACTACGCTTTTGCAGCGTTGCGAAGCTGTGCCGCGCGGCGACTATGATGCGAACTTTTTGCTGGGATCCGGTTAGTCCGGCTATAGACTGCTAGTTGGTGTGCAGATTTGCATACGAGCAGCTAGTGCGCGGGCTTGCTTGTTGATCGCCGATTGATCGGCGCTGTGGCTGTTGCTTTTTTTCCAACTCACTATTCGCTATTTCGGATTAAATAGCCCAATAAAATGTGTATAAAATAGCAACAACTGGCACAGGCGCGAGATTACCGCCGTTGTTGCCGCAATGATCAGACGAAAATTTATTTATTGATGTACGCCAACAGCAAAAGTTGACTGCTGCGGTGCGCCCGCCGATGCCAGTGCAATGGCGACGGTGTTGGCGGCAATTTGCCAGCATGGCTTTTGATCTTCGCGAATTTGCGTGGATAGACGGAGGTGGATGTACATACGTCGATATGAATGTGCGATTGGGAGGAGGCTCATACGTTTTTATGGTGTCGCCACCGCCCGTTGCGTTGCATACACGCCAGCGAGGAAGATCCAAGGCAATTGCGTGGGAAGGGAAGGCAGACGACACGGGATTTCGGCGCAGAACACTAGCCTGTACGTGAGCGCATTACATCCAATATGGAAGCTCGTCTCTGCTATGCCTTTTGCAGTCAGTTAATCATGGCCTTAAGCGCCGCAAGCGAGCGCAACTAAGCAGCGCCTAGTAAGGTCATGCGCGCGCTGCGTAAAACGCACGAACTTTGACACGATAGCCGCACGCGTCGGCGGGCATAAGTTGGACATGTGGCAATGGTTGTGTAATTTTTCACGCGCCACAGGCGGAAAAAACGCCTGC